TGGGCAGCCCATTTCTTAGTATCGGGTCTTGATGCCGGGCCAGACGACACGTTGCGTGAGGAGGCGCTGGGAGGCCCGCACACCCGGGTGGCTGAGACCATGGATGCGGTCGAAAACAGCGCGGCGGTGGACGTGAGGCACGAACGGTCTAGGCTGCCCACAGGATACGTCGCACCACAATTTGATATTCGTGCCAGGGATTGGGAGTTCTTGGAGTGTGAGGCCTGACGGAGATGTCTTGTATGCTGCCAGGTCTTCGTCATTCTCTTGAGCCGCGGCAAGTTGCCCATAATTTCAATGGGTGGAGATGAGGGGAGAATGTTGGATATACAACGAGAGAGGGCGTCGGCGATCTCGTTGTGGCTGCCTTTAATGCGTTGGATGTCGCTGGAGAACTCCGAGATATACGCCAAGTGGCGCAGTACGTGAGGTGTATGTGACTGGGAGGTTGAAGTAAAGGCGTGGACGAGGGGCTTGTGATCAGTGAAGATGGTGAACTGACTGGCCTCGAGGAAGTGCTGGAAATGCTTGACAGCCAGGTATACGGCCAGGAGTTCTCGGTCGAAGGCGCTGTATTTGAGGTGAGGTGGTTGAAGCCGTTGTGAGAAGAATGCAACGGACATGAGGACTCCGTTGATCTCCTGCTGTAAGAAGGCGCCCACTGCAGTAGAAGAAGCGTCTGTTGTGAGAGTGGTCCGGGCGTTAGGTGCGGGGTGGGCTAGGAGGGTAAGGCGTGTGATGTGCTGTTTGATAGCGGTGAATGCCGTAACAGCCTCTTGAGTCCACAAGAGAGGCTTGTGAGACTTCTTTGGGAGTCCTTTGAGAAGGTCGTAGAGGGGAACTAGGACGGTGGCAGCGTTGGCAATGAAGCGGTGGTAGCGGTTAACTAAACCCAGGAATTCTCGGAGTTTCTTCGCCGTTTCAGGTTTGGGGAACTCCCTGATGGCAGTTTTCTTCTGTGGTAGGGGTTGTATGCCACTAGGCGAGACTCTGTGACCGAGGAAATCAATGGATGGGGCTCCGAAGACGCACTTAGCAGGGTGAACTTTCATGTTGTTGTTCTGCAGGCATTGGAGAAGGAATTGTAGGTGGTGATGATGCTTGGCAGGCGTCGAAGATGCGACGAGGAAGTCGTCTATGTAGACGGTGACAAAACCGAGGTCGCAAAGCATATGGTCCATGTACCTCTGGAAAGTCTGTGCTGCATTGCGTAGGCCAAAACTCATGAAAGTATACTCGAAGTGTCCGAACGGAGTGGTGATGGCTGTCTTCTGGGTATCTGCAGGTGCTACAGGGATCTGGTGGAAGGCACGCTCCAAGTCGATCTTCGAGAAGATTGTCTCTTCATGAAGTTTGTGGCGGAAGTCCTGGACATGTGAAATATGGTACCTGTCGGGTTTGGTGACGAGGTTCAGGGCTCTGTAGTAGCCACACACCCTCCAGTCGCCGGATGATGGCTTAAGGACCATGTGAAGAGGCAATGTCCAGGGACTCTTTGAAGGATGAATGATGCCGTCTTGCAGTAGTCTGTTGAATTCCGCATTGGCTGCGTTCAGGAGCTCAGGGTGCAGGCGGCGGGGGCGTGAGAAGACTGGAGGTCCGTGGTCTCGATGTGGTGAAAAATTCCCGACGTAGGTGGTGGGGGTGGAGAGACTCGGGGTGAGAAAAGTTCCTTGAACTCTTCAAGCAGGGGGGAGAATACATTGGACGGCGAAAGACAGGTGATAGTGTCGGTGTCTTTGGCACATGAACCCTGGATCTTGCATGCTGTAGGCTCATGGATGAGGCGAAGGTGGCTCGGGTCGACTCCGAGCTTGTGAAAGGTGAGGAAGTCGAAACCAAGGATTGGTTGAGACACGTCTGCGACTACGAATGACCAGTGTTACGAACCACGCCACCAATTGTCATGATCTACCTACCCAGCACTACGAACCACGCCATCTATTGTCCTGATCTACCTACCCAGCACCACGAGCAACGCCATCTAGGGACGAAACACGAGTATGACTCGTCTTAGTTACCACTCCGGGGTTTCCCTTCTCCATATCCTGGTTGTTGCGTCACCTCCTCAAAGTCTTCTTTGTCCGCTCCAGTTCGAGGAGAGTTCAGTTCACTCTGGGAAGTGACCACAGGATCACCTATCCTGGAAACCTACGGCACAGTGACTACCTACCATCGTCTACAATACTCAGCCTTACTCGTCAGCCATCTCAGCTCCGCACTTAAGTATTTGTAATGTTATATTGCCTCCCCACGTCCACCTTGCTTCAAATTATTGTATGTTGTATAAATATGTATATACTGTTAATTTTTAGGTTAAGTATGGTTAAGGGTAAATTATAGAAAGCTCAATATTTTGTTAAGGAATTTATGGTACTTTATTATACACAACAAAAACTCGCATCCTTTGTCTACCCTTTTATAGTCCGATTGTCTTTGTTTTTTTTTGTTGTTGCCTGTTGGGATCTGGGTAGACTTTTAACTATATTCTAAATCCCCAACTCGAAACACCAGCGTAGAGTGTTTGGGAAACCTAGGTCTAAGGCGAGGGTGAGTGCGCCGTAGGAGGCGATGGGAGTACCGTTGGCGGCGAACAGGTCATAAGAGGGTTGCCTTGACGTGTCTTGTCGTGAGGGAGGGATGATACTGACCGATGAACCTGTGTCGGCGAGGAATTTTGTGCCGGAGGTGCAATCGGTGATGTGCAGTAGTGAGACGCCTGAAGGGACAGGGGCTGGGGCGTCTACCAACCTCCGCTGTTGCCGTTTCCCGAGTAGGTGCAGTGGGGCTCACAGCGTTGAGCATTGGGGCCAAAACGCCGGTGATACCAGCAGAGGGTGTATTCGTTGTGCTGGGGGGCTGGCGGCGGTTTCCGGGGCAGGAAGGGCGCGTCGGGGATTGTAGGGCGCGGTGCGTGGGTTAGGAACAGGTCTAGAGGCAGGCATGGAGGAGCATAACTGTTCAATGGTGTTCATACTGCGGCTCAAGGTTTGCATCAGGTCCCTGACGTCTTGTGAGGTACTGCTCGGCTGAGGGGTGTTGACCCGGCTTACAAGTTTGGAGGTAAGTACTGGTGTGGGCGTGGGGTTGTCCGCGGCCTCCAGGCACGCAGCCGAGCACTCGTTAAATATTCTGTCTGCCGCGGTTGCGTAGAGTTCAGGTGTCGTCGAGTAATCTACTGCGGACAGCATGGTACATACTTGTGTGGGGAGCTTTTGTGCATGAAGCTGGTGCAGGATAGAGTCGGGAAGTCTGTCTGTGTGCCGGGATTTCAGCCTACACATCTCCTCCCAGAGAAGTCCTGGAGTTGAGTTTCCAAGGGAGATAGAAGATAGGTTCTGCAGGAGATTGGGGCGGGTCCGTCGGTAATGGGTTTTTAAGGCGTCCCGCATGGTGGCGAATTTGTTGTTCTCTGGAGGGTTTGAAATAGTCCGTGATACATGTGTGGCGACTTCCGTGGGCAAAAATGAGAGCAAGGCGCCGTACTTTTGCTCGTCAGTAGCTTGTGAGCCGATGAGGATTGCTTCCACATGATCTAACCAGTCCTCGATGTTGTGGCTGAAAGTCGGTAGAGAGATCCGTACGTCCATTCTTGCGGAAGTGTATCACACGATCGTGAGATGGTGTCGTAGTGGGGTAGCACGTGGTGCGGGTGGTGTCGTCGTGTAGGAGTGGGGTAGCATGTGGTGCGGGTAAGGTGGTTAGCCTAGGCTGGCAGCAGGCAGGACGATCTTCTTAGCTCCAGGAGTCAGGCAGCAGAAAGGAGTGTAGTGTTCACGGCTCCAGGGGTCACCATTTGTGGGGTACGTGTTATTGGTTCACACTCAGGATGGGATGGAGAAAGGAAACTCACAATGTGCTCTCTGTAAACATATTGTTTTGGATATACAATGCAGCTTGGGGCTGGGAAGGCAGCATGGTTACAAGCGTTGAGTAGAGAGAGCTGGTTGGTGAGGGTGCTCAGAGGAGGACCAGCTTGTGGGTCGCCATGCTCGCCGGTGGGAGCGAGGGCCGCCAGGCAGGAGGAGGAGGAGGAGGTGTTGCTTGCTGGTTAGTGTAGGTAGAAAAAGAGGTAGGTCACCACGAGGTCAGGTCTTATATAGCGGAGGTAGGGGTGGCTTAATAGTTGACCTCCGTCATGTAAGGCGGCGCTGATTGACCTAGACCACGAGGCATACACTGGGGAATTCGCGGGGTCGGCTACTCAGCGAGAAACAGCGTTTGCAGGGGAGGAATCCACTACACTCCCTCTGTAGCCTTACCCCTGGAGATGTGAGGACCGCCCTCTCTCTGCTGTCACTGTTGTCCAACTGACCTGACTGGACCAATCGCCACTGATGTCATGATCGTAATGGCGGCTAGCCTGTTGAAACTTAAGGATCCATATTACGCCTACACGTCCACAAAACCTTCTGAGTCCCCCAGTGGAAACGTCTTCCGTTTTCTGTTTCGTTGATGACGTCATCGATATGTCGTCATTGTGTGACCGAGTTTTGTAAACTCTTTTGCTTCTACTGAGATCCTGTAAACCCCCTTTTTTCACCTATGAATATCAGAGACCCTGATAATCATAGACGAAATTGCTGTGAGGAGATTAACTATGGAATTAATAAATTTCCTGATCGCCGGCCGGATACTCAAAACACCTCATAAGTTACGTTTTTCAGCATGATACAGTACCATATATTGTGGAAGCCTTACAGTACCATAAATTTAGCATACTCAAAATTTAATTATGGTTCCGTAAGACTTCCGTAAGTTCTCGTAACTCTAGTGTTTACCCTGTAAATTAAGTTCTCTTGTCGGACGGTAGATGTCAGTGCAGATGCTAGTTGGCCAATCAACGCTCAGTTAACAAAATCATCAACCAATCACAAGAGAAGGAGAAATCAGCTGAGAGCGACGCACGTAATATTATTTTGTAAACATGGAAGGACCACCAGCCAAGAAGAGACGGCCTAATTTCAGTGAGGCTGAAGTATACTCTTGTGACTGAGGTAGCCAAACGAAAAGAAATGATTTTAGGGAAGTTGGACTCAAGTAGTTGTACACTTCAACTCAAAAACCATGCCTGGGGTGAAGTGTTAAATGCGGTGAATGCTGTTGGTAGAGTCACCCGCAATGTTACTGAAATTCGGCGGAAGTTTTCTGATCTTCGTGTTAGCGTTAAGAAAAAAGCAGCACAAGATAAGAAATATGCTGGTGGAACAGGTAAGTCATAATATTGTTAGCGTGGTTATTGATTGACAATATGAAACAAACTTAACTATGGTTTTTCTGAGGCTTGGTACGATTTTACGTGTTTGTAAACTCAAGGAAGTAAGTAGTGTGGTGGCTCTCCATCGTGAATGAATACACATATTTTCCTTATATGAGCACATTCATTAAAAGAAACATCGTTCTTCGAAGTTTTCCGTGTGAGTAAATAGTAAAAACTTTACCGTTCAACCTAAATTTTTTTTTCTTTTTACGTGGATTAACCAACCCAGGCACAGTCACTGACCCACGTCGGGGCCTGTAATAATAATTCTTTAGTACTATTAATAAAAATACCTCTTTATTAATAATAATATTAATAATAAATAACCATAAATACCGAAATGAAAACACAAAAAGTGAGAAATGAAAACACAAAAAGTGAGAATCAATATGCAGTATGTATGTTGTGTTGTCGATATTACGAGAAACAATTGCGACCCTGCAATTGTGTGTAAATGACACATTTAGTCAGATCAGCAACCTTAGACTTGCTCCTAATTTTCGTGATGCCATATGGCAGCAGGGTCTACCATTAGAGTACACATGATGCTTCCAATATCTTCCCACCCGGTAGTCAGGGAAGTCTGTACTACTGTTAATAATTTCCCCACAACTTTTGGATTTTCTTATTATACCTATCATATAGATTACACAATTTTAAGACACACTTGTCATTGTGTCGCAACTGACGTGGAACAGAGATAGTTAATATGAGTTTGTGTGGCAGGGCGGCGGAGGCCTCCCGTTGGTAAAGGAAGCTAGGTTAGGTAGGTTTGGTTACTGTTATAAACTACATATTAATAATTACGTTATTTCCGACGGTAATGAAGGTCATAATGTATAAGTTGCCATAGAATTCCTTTTTTTATGTCGTTAATTTTCATTCATCAATAGATTTATATTCATATTTGGTATACATTAATATGTAAATTTTACTTTGTTAGGCTTATGAGTTTGCAACTAATACAGGTTGAAAATTTCTGGCTGCTGTAACGGGCCGAGTATTCTCTTTTCAATAATTTACCATCCAGCTATTCTTATATGTTCTTTACCTCTATATACCTTATATTCTTATATAAGTAACTCGTATGCTTCTCTGCTTATGTTTTCCAAGTCAATGTTCTTTCTTTTCATTTCCTTTCATATATATATATTCTCAGTTTCAATGTTCTTACCTTTCTGAAGTTTACTTTGTTATATGTCTATTCTTATACATGGGTTAGTCTGGGGAACCATGTTATTCTTTGTACAACACTTTTTATACTTACAAAGGGTAGCTGCCACCACCCAGACTTTTCATTATATAACCTAACTCATGGAAAGTTGTTGGGTAGTGTGGTAGATGTCTAGGCACGTGAGTAAGTATTATTTTCTGGGAACCAATGTTTAGAAGGAGCAGAGTGGTGATACTCAGATTACTAATTCAATATTTATTAACACAGTGAGTGGAGAAGATGCATCTTAGATTCACTCAGGCTAAACAGAACCGCAATTAACTTATTAAATCATCAAACACTTCAAGAGCTTATTACCTCATCCAACACCTCCAAATACTCATTACTTTATTAGACAATTGGGATATCATTACCTTGATACATGAGATTCCGTAACTATTATTCACAAGCCATCACTGGACCCTCAGGTCTTACTTTAACAAGTAACACATTACCTCTTCACTTCTTGATTAGAGCATGATACTCTCAGGTTATTCGTTCATGATTACTACAGATGAATACATAACACATTGGACTAACTCCACAATTATAGTAACATACAATACCTCCTGTTAGTTTGCAAGGAACAACCTGGTACCTTGAACTCTCATTCAGTGGTTCAATACTTAACCTGGGATGACTATATTTCTGCTAGTCATCCCTAAGCATGGATATTAATACGGCTCCATACATATAACCAAGAACAGTGGGTAGACCATGATCATATGACGGAGTCAGTGGGCCAGAGTTGTTTACAGGCTCGCTCGCTAGCTCGGAGCGCCTGGCCCGGGAAAAGTTGACTGTGGCGGTGGGCCGTGGCGTCTGCCAAGGAATCTCGCCCTGGGATTCTAATCTCGCCACCTTAAAGACGTCTTTCGAGAGACATCGTGCCCATAGGCGGCTCCCAAACCTCAGGAGTGTTGCTAACCCCCACAACAGCGTCTGGAGACGTGGAGAAGAAATCACAGAAGGAGTGAATATTTAACTTCACTATACAAAACATACGTCTGGCACCGGTTCAGACGATAGCTAGAGCTCTACTTTACTTGACCCACTTGGCACTGAAGGTACTATGTTAAAACATGAACACTGATATTCACAAAAAATGACTAAGTTAAACTGAGTTAATATGGCGGCGTGGAACACAAGTGAACATACCTGGAGACGTGGAGAAGAAATCACAGAAGGAGTGATTTCCCCTCGCGCGCCTGCATATATACGGGCCTGAGGGCATATTCCTACTAGAAAGATAAATTTCACTAACAATAGACCCTCTATTCACAGTAGTCGTTGGACACCTAGCTGTGACCGTCAGTGTCACAGATCAGGCTAATTTTCTACATCTATATTTATGATTTAATCAGAGGTTGAGTTTGTCAGTAAAGAGGTGAATTGAAGTTATATATGCGTTCGCAACTCTATTGGCCTGACCGCAAACCACATCCCCGGTCAAACGGCCGTTAAGTCTGGGAGAATTTTGAGTTTGACAGGAACTGTTCAGAAGATGAATGACTTTCTTAAATAGACAACTGACACTAACTAAACTATGAACATCAGATTCTCTGATGTCGGGGCGACAAAACAATATAACTTCAGTAGCGATCAGAAACCCATGGATATCCCCACGGACGACCTAAAATACGCCACTCTAACTGGCAAACTCAACACTCGCCTACTTGACACGTCTTACTAACAATAAGGACAGTTGAAGCGTTCAACACCACTCACAATGGATCTTGAATGTTCCAACTGTAAACAGACATATCTAAGTTGACTCAAAACAAAGGTGTTCTCTCTCACATTCAAATTCATTATATAGAAAGGTTGGTTTCAGTAAGTCAGAGAAAATGGGATAACGGAGGACTGAGGCGTCTTGAAGTGACGAGAAAACGGACTCCTCAGATGGAGGACTCAAAATAAAAGCAGAGGTACATGTTTTGTGGGCTATTGAGCGTAATATGAATCATTTGATTTTGGCGTTAACTGACGTGTACGACCGTGGTCGTTACACTGCGACTATTTTTTTTGACTTATTTTACCATTTATTGTTTGTTACCTTAAATCTAATTAACTTTTGACATAGATAAAGGAGAATTTTTGTGGCTACAGCTACAATGATAGGTTAGGTTATAATGTTTGGAACTATTTCAGTAGATTCCTTTGTAACTATGATTTCTGCCAAATATAACATAGTTAGCGTATAGTGTATGTAACCACAGCTCACAGTAAGACAGTTATTATTTATATTTTCTCTTCAAGGTGGCGGCCCCCAAATTGAAATTACATACACTGCAATTGAAGAAGCAATTCTTCAACTATTAGATCCAGCCTCTATACATGGGATTCCAGGGGATGTTGAAAGTGAAGAACCTATTAATGGTAATTCAGTCAAAATATTTTTCCAACCCCCTGATATATTTTGTTCTTTTCTGTCCTTGTTTTTATTTAAAAAAAACTTTTGGAGACATTTTTTCACATCTTGATTTGGAAATACTGTACAGTATACTGATTTTTTATATAATTTTGAAAAATAACAACACTAGTAAGTTGGTTTCATTTCTAGCTTGTTTATTGCTTCCCTAAGTTATATATTAAATGTTGTTATAACTCGTATGTTAATGGACAAAATTGAGAAGTGCAAATATAAGAAATTTAACGCCTAGTTGATATTTAGATTTAAAAATATTTTAAACAAATATATTTAGATGGTCAACACTATTTTTCAAACCATTATTTTTCCTAAAAGCTTTTGTATATTTGGAAATACAGTGTAATATTTTAATTATACTCTTAACATAGACTTCAATCAACCTATTATACTACATTTCTTTCCAGAAGAAGAAAGAGAACCAACCCCCGGACCCTCAGGAGCTAGGTTTACAGCTACCGGTAGTTGTTTCCGAGAGGAATTTATGTTTCGGCCCGTTCAAGAGAAAGATGATTCTATAACCCTGCATTCTGAATGAGGATATACAGGAACATGATATCACAGTACCCATTGTGCATTTAGAACCTGAAAATTCAGCACCTACAAACATTCCTGGATTTTCATCATCCGGAACATATGAGGTAGAAACATGTAGTTCAAGCAATACTCGTCAACCTATTGCTGCTACCACGGAACAGCGAAGTAGGTCTAGTACCCCTTCTGCCACAGCTGTTAGGTCAACTGTAACTGGTGATTCCACTGATGAAATGGGTTCACCTCCAATGCCAAGTACCAGCAGAAGTGGCAGGAGGCCACGAACCTCTTCTGCCCGAAAAGATGAAGATCTTCTTCGAGAGATGCTTCGTGTTCAAACACAAATGAGTGACAGTTTTTTACAGCTTGTAGCTAACACCGAGTGCATTGCATCTGCAATGCTATGCATTGCAAGAGTTATGCAGTCGAAAAATCCTATCCAATGATGCTGTGTTTATGGTATGCGTATATGTAGTCGTTTACTTAGGTAAGTCCTTTACTTTTGGTAAATGTGATAATAGCGTAGTTGAAAAGTCATCAAACACTTATTATAAATTTTCCTTTGAGTGATTGTTATGAAGGAAGACGGCATGTTAAAAAATTGTGTAACTTTCACTTGCAGCCTATACTAGTCATGAAAATGTAACAGGAATATTTAGCTCTCCATAAGTTCATTAAAATCACGAAGTTAAGTGAAAGACACACATTTGTCAACTAATAACATGTGTTGCAGTGCTACTACGGGTAATGTTTACCCAGGTTTTGGGTAAAAGTTCCTACCACACTCAAAATTATATGTTTGAAAAGAGGCTCATGTACTTATTTTTATTTTTTAAAGGTTCCTTTATTTTGTAAGACGTAGTCAATTTCCAGTTCAACGAGTTTTATTTATTAGTTTGTAGTTTGCGAAGTATGATTCAAGTAGGTTGAAACAGAAATAATGGTGCAAATTCACCAACAGCCTACTGTAATCGCTGCTATTTAACACACATTAGTCTCCAAAGCGCAAGTTGTTGCATTGGTTCTTTCATAAGGATGTGCTGTCTCATGTTACATTTTATAGCTTAACAAGCAAAGAGTATTCTATTTTTTTCTTTATTACTTATAGTAGTACAGTATTGGGTTATAAGTTTCTTTTAATTTACGGGTATTGATGCAGGTAATTCTAGACATGAAAATTATACTGTATTCCATTCTTAAATCTAAAAAATGGCAACAAATAACAGTAGTTGTATTATTATTTCACAACGATGTGGTGACCCATGTCAAATTGTGTAGTTTAAGATGCAAACAGTAGCAATATTTTTTTATTGTTTCAATTTCTCAAATATGTTTTATGTAAGGATTTTTTTGTTTCACAAACTTTAGTGCCTTTGGTATTTAGTAGTATTAAAAGTATACTGTATTGGAATCAAATTTGTTCAAGGATATAGTACATATATTATTAAGGTAAGAGAAAGGCATTTAATTTCTATAAAGAAGTTTATTTTATTATGTACAGTATATTGAAAATAAAAGTTAAATCAATGTACGCTTTATTCGCATTACCTCTGTATACTGCACTAAAAAATACTATTTAAACATAGAGGAAAAATGTATTGGTGAATTGATATTTGATTTTAATTCATCAAGTAAACCAATTACGGACTACATTGGCTCGGACTGCTTGGCCTGTCCCTGCTACAGCTTCAGCTGGATTGTCAATCTCTCCATCATCGTCGACGATGTCGTGGGGAAGTGGTACCCTTCTCATTAAACAATAATTGTGAAGAAGGAAACATGCATTTACAATTTTGGCACATTTGGAAGGATCGTATTGAAGTGATCCACCAGAACGGTGAAGGCATCTAAATCGTGATTTTAGGACACCAAAAGTTTGCTCTACAACTACGCGGGTTTTGGTATGGCTGTTGTTATACCTAACTTCTCCAGGGGTTGAGGGGTTTCTGAATGGTGTCATGAGGAATGCCTCTAATGGGTACCCACTGTCACCTGGAATAACAGGAGTGATTAAAAAATAAAGAAATAAATGTACAGCTCAATAAGAAATATAATAAAAAAAAATTACAATGCCCTTGGGGGAATTAATCCCTCAGCCCACTCTTGTACCTATAAGCAAAAAACATATAAACTATATAGCTGCATTACCAAACAATGAGGCATAATGTATTTGCTTCCACATAAAAATAGCAATATAGCACAAATATTTTAACCATTTTTCAACAACCAACTGTAAGACAAATAAAGATATTAGGTGTGGGCCACTAATTATGTATGTGCCGTCAAGTGTCATAGCTTGGTTTAGGGAAAGTTATTAGGTTCAGCATAGGTTTATAAGGTCAGTGATGTCAAACTTAGTCGATATGCACGGTTAAACATAGCTGTAAAAGTGTACCGTTCCTTAATTCAACAAATGAATGATTTATCATGTACTGGGCAGTTAAGTAAGGTCCTCCTAGCATTAGAGCCTATGTTCCACCTAGTCACATTGATTAGCTGAAATAGGAAAAATCTTAACCGTGCCATTTAAACTTACCAATCAAATAATTATCACCAAAATCACCAGCCTCAAAGCGACGGCGAAGTAAGCAGTTGGCCCAGATGAAGGCGTCATGTTTACAACCTGGATACTTGGTGCTGTAGTTTGTGATCAACCCATCGGCATTACATACTACTTGTACATTGAGAGAGTGGTATCGCTTCCTGTTTACATATGTTCCTTCATTTTCAATTGGGGCTTTTATGGGTATGTGTGTTCCATCAATTGCACCAATGACTCTTGGAAGGTTTCTTATTCTGGCAAAACCTTGCACAGTTCTTGCTATTTGTACATTACCTGTTGGCATCTTTATTTCAGATCTTGCCCTTTCTGTGAGAATTTGGGTCACATCTCTAATAATTCTACTGACACTAGCTTGGGTAAGACCAACTGTATCACCAAGTACATGTTGAAAGGTTCCACTGGCGTAAAATCTTAAGGCAACTAACACTTGCGTGTGTATGGGAACAGCATGAGATCTTCTCGTTCTACGCCTTAAAAATGGATCTAACTCTTCACACAGTCTTAGAATTTCACATCGAGGAAACCTATAATATCTAATTAGATTTTCATCGCTTATATTTATGGGATCCAAAGGGTCCCGATACCTTCGTTCACGTCGTAAAGCTCGATCATGCAGATAAGCTACAACAAGTTCCATTGCAGGGTAACTGGAAAATGAGGTCCAACTGTTACAGGATCAATCTGCAGGACAAAAAATTATGCAATGGCTTAGAAGTTTGTTACAGTATTGTTTTTATGTTGATACTAACTTATTCAAAGTTTTATCATTAGGCCTAGAATAGAAGGGTTATGCCTGTGAAAAACAAAAATTATGGCCTTAAGGTTTTGCCTGGCTCTTAGGGGTAAAATACTGAAAAATGCACGTGTTAAAATCTCTGTATTCATTTAAAATTGAAAGAAATTGTTCATTATGAAAGTAAATAAGGGTGTTAAAAGCATTTAAAAGACATCCTCTTGCCTCTTGTCTGTCACATACTCGCATTTGAAACTGATTTCTGGTAGGAACAGCAGCCTTCTCCGTTAGCCGGAATCCTTGAAACCCAGAACTTTCTGAAAGCCATAATTGAAATTTTATCTAAAATTAATTCCCAAAGCATGATTTTGCAGGAAACTTACGGCTTAGGTAAATGACTTTCAGAGAGGCACATTTTCCTGAAAACTATGAGGAAAGTTTCCCAGATAACCGAGAAAATTCCGGAGATGGGGGATATATTTCTGGGTTCGAGAGATGATGTAATGGGCAATTGCAGGAACTACCGAGAAAATGTTTCCATTACCATAAACATTCTGGGGATGAGGGATATTTTCTTGATTTGTGATAGCTGTCTCGTTAACGGGAAAACACTCATTCATTCACGGTAGTGCTCTTCACCAATTGTTCTGGCTAACAGAGATCTCACAGTAATAGGTGTTTTACCCCACTAGAATTTAGGTAAATAATCCCTTGCATAATGTTGGCCTGTGACAAGACACATAAGCTATACTAAG